TTTCGGTACTGGGATCAATCCAATGACAGTTGCAAAGTTATATAAGTCTATTGTTCTGCCTAGAAGCCTCTTTGGCTGTGAACTTTGGTTTTCACTAACAGAAACTGATTTGTCTCGTATTGAAACTGTACATGCAAAGCTCATTCAAAGTTGTATCCGTCGCACACGATCAGATATCGCTCTCAGTATGTTAGGCCTTATCTCAATACACCTCGAGATTGAATTAGCCAAACTTCGCTTTTTTGCTGCTTTATGTAGACTAGATACACGATATACTGTAAAGAGAATTTTTATGTTTCGTCTTTTTTCACACATATTTTGAATTCAATGTGGAAAAGGTTTTGTTTCAGATGTTTGGAAAATCTTATGAATATGAATTATATGATGTATTATTGGCCATCTTACAAAAAGGATTTTTTCCTTCTAAACAATCATTGAAACGTCTAACGAGAGGTGTTCTAATTCGTAATTACACTTATGAGTGGAGGCAGCGACCCCTTCTCAGCAAGGACTTTTCTTGATTTATGTATCTGCAATATGATATCTGTCCTTCGACTATTTGGTTTTTATCGAAACGTTTTCCCTACTTTTGAAGAACATGCGCTAATGTTGCAAAGCTCTGGATTATTTCTCCAGATTGTGAATTAGCATGTGCACAATGCAATGTGCTTGCAGCCGATGAAGTTGCACATTGTATTTTGGACTACACTGGCGAAGAAGTGTTAGCTTTACGCAATAACGTCTTCTCCAAAGTTATCAACGACTACCCGGTTCATGCTTACGTTGCACTGGACCAGGCGAGTCGGGATATTCAAATAGCAACGCTTCTTGGCTCTCCTCCTGATCTTTTTCGAGATCTTTTTGGAGAAGACGACGATCTTTTCTTGTCTTTTGTACGCGACTGTTGCATCTTTGCAGAGAAAGCTTTTGCTCTTACCTTCCAATAATACATGAGTTCCTGTAAATAATCTTTGTGTGTATTATACTGGTTGAAGGCTATGCAATCGTAAAATGTATAAGTTTGCATCATTCAATCAGCTTATTGTTTCAGTCATTATACTTTCTTTTGTAACTGTATTAATTTTCTTATATCTATTGTTTATTTAAAATATATATTTCACATAACTCTTCATGTTTGGAGGAATAAAGATATGAATGAATGAATTAGTTCTATGTTAATTTGATCTTTTCTCATATCTGTTTGACCGAGTCATGTATGCATGTACAGTATACCTTGAGGTAACTTTTGATCTAAACTTCATTCTGCTGTATATAAAAGACAACCTTTAATATGAGTTCGTGGTTTCACATATTTACTAGTACAGTACTTTATGTGAAAGAAATAGATGCGATCATTGCAATATGAGAAAGATCTGTTTTGTTCTTCCTGTAGCCATCTTGTTTATGATCACTTTTGAATTAAACAGGCAAAATTAAGGACCAAGGGGAACTTCCATATCAAATTTGACGAAGATCCATCAAGTACTTTCTGAGAATTAACAATAACAAACTGTAACTGTCAAAATCCCAAGATGGCCACCTGTCAACAATTTTGTTTATTCCATCAGTCACAAAAGTAAACATGCACAACAAATGACCTAGGTGAACCTACATAACAAATTCGATAAAGATCTGGGAAATAGCTATAACACACATTAACTGTCATAAAAACGATGGCCGCCAGTCAGCCATATTGTTTATCCGATCAGTCTCAAAAGTAAACAAGCACAAAAAAGACAAAGGGTAATCTGCATATCAAATTTTAGAAAGATCCCTCCATCACTTCCTGCGAAACACATTGTAGCAATAACAAATATACTGTCAAAATCCAAGCACAAACTAAGGGGAACGTACATATTAAAGTAGTTTCTGAGAAATAGCGATAACAAACCTTCAAATCCAAGATAGCTGCCCGTTGGCTATTTTGTTTATCTGATCAGTGTCAAAATTTGATATACATAACTAGCCACCACGGGAAACGTTCATGTGAAATATGAGAAAGATCAATCAGGTAATTTCTGAGAAATAGTGCTAACAAACTTTTACTCAATAAATTCAATATGGCGCCTATCGGCCATATTTGTTCCAATCAGTATAAAAAAACGATATGCATAACTAGGGCCCATGGGGAACCTTCATGTGAAATTTGAGAAAGATACTTCCAGTACTTACTGAGAAATACCACTAACAAAAATTGTTTAAGGATGGACGGAATGACAGACGGACCACGGACACAAGGCGATTTGAATAGCCCACCATCTGATGATAGTGAGCTGAAATTTAACGATCGGGCCAAAAAGCTACGGTTCCCCCAGCTAGGATAACATGAACAATTATTTCAGAAAAAAGTGTAATAACATGATTGTAACAGCATTCAGTTCCCAGTTATTTGAAAAACAACTAGAGCGTTGACAGGTCAGTAAGGGCCCCGTCTTGTGGCAATATATCCCCCATAATCATCAAGAAGCAATCTGCCTATATAGCTGAGCTTGACGTTTGACATTTGGACTTCAAAAAGAGTCGCAAGGAAGCAAAATATACATTTTACATGTACTATGATGTGAGTCTTGTTTCCTTCCACCTCCATATTTGCTGGGCTAACAGAAATGTAAATACCGGTGCAATACTCACTTGTTAGCTTTGATTTGTTTTATTTCACCTTATATACCTCCTCCATCAAGAGCCAGGGTGAAAGTCAGAGATCGACTTTGTGTTTAACCTTTGGACCGAAATGACCTTGACCATTAACCCAGTGACCCTGATCTTTGGTCAGTTGACTTATTCTTTAATTCCGACCAACTTTGCTTCATAATATTATAACAAAATGTTCACCAGTGAAAAATACAAAACTTGACCTTGACCCTTTGGACCCCGTAACCTGGACCTAAGGTCAGTTGACTCTGTGTTAAGTTCTGAGCAAGTTTGCTACATAATAACATAAAAAAAGTTCATCAGTAAAAAGATACAATAATTGACCTTGACAGTGACCACGTGACCTTGACCTTAAGTCAGTTGACTCCTTGTTCAATTCTGACCAACATTGCTGCATAATGTCATAACAAAATGTTCATCAGGGAAAAGATACAAAATTTAACCTTCACCTTTGACCCAGTGACCTTGACCTTTGGTCAATTGACTCCTTGTTTAATTCTGATCATTTTTTCTTCATCATGTCATAACAAAATGTTCACCAGTGAAAAGATACAAAAGTTAACCTTGACCTTTGACTCAATGACCTTGACATTTGGTCAGGTTGACTCCTTGTTTAATTCTGATCAACTTTGCTTCATCATGTCATAACAAAATGTTCATCAGTGAAAAGATGCAAAATTTGACCTTGACCTTTGACTCAATGACCTTGACATTTGGTCAGGTTGACTCCTTGTTTAATTCTGATCAACTTTGCTTCATCATGTCATAACAAAATGTTCATCAGTGAAAAGATACAAAATTTGACCTTGACCTTTGAACTTAATGACCTTGACCTTTGACCTTGGCTTTTTACCTCAATGTGCATTTTGATCAGGAGTGATTACTATTCCGTCTTTGCGTATTGCAGAGTTATCTTCTCTTGTGAGCAGGTATTGATTGTTACGTCATTGGTTTGTGAGAGTAACGTCATCAATTTTTGAGAAAACGACGTAATTTTCTCACACAAACCAATGACGTAACAATCAATACCTGCTCCCAAGAGAAGATAACTCTGCAATATGCAAAGACGGAATAGGGCACCCGTATCTCCGATACGGGGCCCTAATGATCAGAATGTGTGTTTCAAGTGTTTGTGAAATAACTTACTTGCATGATAGGAATGGAGAGTGATAACAAATAAACTACTAAATAACTTTATTTCACTGGAAGCTGTGATTTAACTTTGTCTTTTTTTATTGCATGAGAGTCAAGACTTTAATACATGTACAACATTTTTACAAATAACTGAACTGTAAAACCGGGAAATTTTCGATTTGCTTCAAATGACTAATTCATTTTCACCTATATATTATCTGCTCATTGATCTCCTTGTGTTTTTACATTGAGGTCGAATATAAAACTAGGGATTTGAAAATATTGAAAAAATAATCAACTCAAAAGGCAAAATCAGTTTTTTAAAACATTTTTTCCCCCTCGTTTTATATTTCACCATTATACACTCACGTTAGTCGATTGTTTCTTAATCAAATTGCATAAAAAATATGGTTTGAGTGACACCATGTCTAATTAGATTATTAATATTGTTACAACAATGTCTTGTCTTTTTGTTTTACAATGCATTGTACATTTGCCCTGGTATACAACAATACTAAATAACACAAAAGAACAACATAAATCATGCTCTTTGATCAGTCAGTTAAGAAAAAATTTCTGACTGATCAAAGAGCATGATTTATGTTACCATATTCTTTTGTGTTATTTAGTATTGTTATATGACCAGGGCACATGTACAATGCAGTGTAAAACAAAAAGACAAGACATTCCAGAGTGACATTGGCCCCCACTGTTGTAAGATCTTCATTACTTCTATATAAGTGTCATCTTCCTATTGCTGCAATTGACATTCTCCTTTCAAATGGATCAACAGATTTCCGTCAATCATATTTTTCTTCTAAATCCAGCAGCTTGAAGCTTGAATTGAAATTTGAGAAAGATCTGAAACTAACTTTCCAAGTAAAAGTGATCACACTAAACATATATATATATACTTCAACAGTCAAATTCAAGATGTCTGTCTACTGGTGGCCATTTTTTCAATAAAGTGAGTCAAGAGGAGCCTATATTTTGATAGGAACTTACAAAATACCTTTCTTAGAAATAATCATAATCAAATTATTATCCAGTCAATCTACAGTATAACATACAAAAAATTGTGAAAGAATTCATTATTACTGACAGATGATGGAAGCTGCACCTTTGCAAAAGCTCACAGACACTTCAACGAATGTCATTTAGGTGAGCTAAAAACAAGCACTTATAACAATGAATAGAAAAAACATTCAATCATAAAAGTTTGTCAGTATTTTTATTTTAGACATCACAAGGTATGGCTCTCACATCAATACAAAAAGTAACAACCGTTTGACAAACCAGTTGTCTCCACTTACAAATGTTTAAAATCTACCACTTCACACATTCTTATACTTCTCATACGTTACAGAGTACATACAAAATTCTCAGTGATGAGAAGCTGATTCTGTCCCTTAATACAGGGAAATGTATGGTATATACAGGAATGAAGTGATCTCTTTGTTAACATTAACTGTGTAAAGAGACCACCTTAGGCATGAGTACAGTTGGCCATATGCTGTTTAATGGTCCTTAGTGGAATGATGTAGTCTTCCCTTGTTTTACTACATAAACCCTGGCCAGTGTTTAACAGAGATGATCAGCACCATACACCTATACACTTGTAACAGCTGGGCTGCTGCATATAATAGTCTGACTACCATTTAACATATGCTTAACAGGTGTTTATCTGGTTCTTCGTCACACTATTACTGTTCCTAGGACCTTAAAGTTCTAGAGGAAGCTCACATCACCAGAATATTCTGAAAATGGTCCCTTTGTGGTCCTGGAGAATGAATGTCATCTACAGTGTACCACCTTATTCACTTGTCAATCAGTGTTCCTTTGGGTCTCTTTTTGGCCTCCTCAGCCTAAAATATGCAAAGTCAACAATGGGTGAAACTACCAATAAAGGCAAAACAGTACATGTATAATATTCTCAAAGATTTCAATATCAATACCTTATTCCTCAAATAACTTTTTCCGCATGGAATCGAAGTGCTGTCTACAGCATAAGCCATTTTTTTTAAATTAGTTGGGGCTAACAGAAAAATACATTCATCAAAGGCTTTCCAAAGATATCAAAGGGTTATTAAACAATTCTGGATTTCATTATGTGATAAACGAAATATAAGTCATGAAAACTTTACCTCTTCCATCATCTTGCGTTTGGTCATGCCTTTCCTGATCAACTGTTTCTCTATTACTCTGGCATTAGCAGCATAGGAATCAGCTATTTCTTTCTGTGGATAGAAAGATCAATATGAAATGAAAATAAAGTATTAATGTAAAGCAAAACAATGAGAAAATCACCTACTTTTACACAGGTATTGAACAAATTATCTCCCTTCTAATATCACATTTATCAATTGTTTTGACAATGTCATTATAAATTCATAGATGTGCTCCTAACAGACCATCATTTATGCTATTAACAATATTTTATTAGTCTGTTTTAACAGGACACTACAGGAAGTGAGTAAATAAAATGACCTTTTTTGTGGACATTTCACATTTATCATGATCTGAGACAGAACCCAATTTGATTAAGATCAACTGAGGGCGTGAAATAATTTATTACGCATAAATGATCAAAGTTTCATCAGGTCAACTACATGTAGACTAACATAATCAGTGTTTAAAATAGTTCTGAGATAAATATGACATGGTTCATTTTGCATATGCCCTTCTAAGTATTCTTATTGATAAACCTATGCTAAGCATTACCCGTGCTTAAGCTACAAAATAAAATAAATAAATATACAACATTTGATATACCGTAAAAACCCATGTAAATTGTGCACTTTTTTTTCAGAAATTTAATACCCAAAGTGGGGGGTGCGTAAAATACACAGGTATAGAAAATTTCAAGTTTTTTTCAGGAAAAGATGGACAATTCTGAGGGATCGCCATCTTGGATTATGTCCCTTGGTACACGGAACTCTAAGACAAATGACGATCAACAAATTTATATCTAGCTAGCATAAATTACTCTAAAGCGCTTTACAGTACATAGATATCCAATTAATACAATTAGCATATACATTAATCAATACAATTTTGGAGGAATTCGCAGGAGCTGCCTTATCAGGCGCTAACTACTAGTCGTATGCCACCTGCATAATATCTCCCTATGTGTGTATGCCTGCATGTGTGCTGGAGATGTAACAAAGAAGACACATTATCTGTGGTAAAATTCACTGCCTATATACTGCATAATGTGGATTCACGCCCGGTGTCAAATTATTACCCTTTCTAAGGAAAAGGCATTGGGACAAATTAATGGATGTGGAAAGGGAAGTATTAAGTCTATTTCTGATTTTGACCTCAGATTCAGTGTATAATTTTGAGGCAAGAATTCAAATTTCTGTGACTTATTTTATCAAATGAGTGACTGAGAGAGGGTATACTTACCGCTTCAATCTCCTCCTCTTCTTCGTCAACAGTAGACACTGTCACAGAACTAAATTTGCCCATATTCTTAGTGTGTTTGGTTAGCGTCACCTACAAAGCAAAAGCATTTAATATTAAACTATATTGATTTACAATATCACCATGGATATCAGGTAAAATGTCTGAAGAGAAATATATGACAAAAACATCAATCTCATGAAATTCATTACCCTGTTGGAAACTAAAGAGAAAACAGACTAAATAATGTAACAGAGATTTTGCATAATCTTCAAACTACCTCTGATGCCACACAGCATCCATCTTGAATCCCAAAACTTAAAAGTGAGATGTTTAATCTGATGTATATAACTCCCAAAAATATGAAAAAAAGTGTCCCAATAAGACTTGCTTATAGTCCCAAATGTTTCGGCAAATCGTAGACAGTAGGGCCTTATACATATAGGATGTCAAGATTCAGAAAAAACTTTGACTGCACTTGTACACATGCCCTACAATAAGTATCTTTTGAAGAGTCTTTAGTATGTTGGGAAAGTTCATGGGATGGCCTATCTATAACATTCGTAAAACAAAAAATATTTCTTTTAATAATAAATAATAATATACAGCATAATTTGTAAAATTACTCTAAGGCGCTTTACAACATATGGATAATAGTAATGGTTATAATTGTGAAAACAAACAACAAAGGCTTGCAATCACTTTCATACATTTAACAAGCAATGTGCACATAATGAAAACACCTTTCAGGAACTTACAAAATTTGATGACTATACTCCTCTCATACCAAAATGTATGGGATACAATTAAAGCCCAGTTGTACAGCTATATATTCATGTTAAAAGACAGCCTACCTTCTTTGGTTCAGAGATCTGACTATAGACGTCTGTTTTCTTAGCGTCCCTCTTCAGTGCTCCGTCAACAATAAACATCACCTTGCTGTTTCCTTGGTGATGGTAGTATAACCAAAGGCCACACCTGCAAGTCGGATATACAATTTTTATACATTTAGTGATTGCAATCGTCAACAAGTTGCCTTTATTTTTCTAACATCTCTTACAATAAGAATAACACAAATTTAATATATTAATTTGGAAATAAACAGGTAAAAATCATTTGAACATGTTGTTTTCTAAATTTCATAAATACTCTTTACTAATTGTAACGAAAAGTTGAAACCCTACTAAATAAAAGAAAACACAATCAATTATTGTAACACATTTATACTCAATCATTATTAATTTAATGATTCTGACGATTTCCTTTTTAACATTCCATAAATTAAAGGTCTTAAAGGGGGCTTATTGAAGTGTATTCCTGTACCTGGTGTATCTATTTTTTTAATGCAAATGTACCTTTTACATTTCTGCCGGTACTGCTTCTCAATGCCTTCTACTCTGAAGAAGAAGATGCAAATAATTATAAATGTATGATACGGTGGAATGTCACAGCTTATTTGCACATATCATATATGTAATATAGTGGATTTTCACAACTTATATCTACAGTATGTACAGTATTAAATAAAATCTTAGTGAAATATAATATGTCATGCATAATAAGGTGAAATTCCTGAACTTATATACATGCATACGTAAATGTCACAGCTTATTTATATATGTTTGACAAATGTAGCTTATTTCTATATACCTTACAAACAGTGTAGTATGTTGAAGCGTTATCTGATATATGTGATATCTTGGAAGTCACATATTATTCTATATATATACATGTACAATATCAAGAGTGTGATGGGGGAAAATGTCATAGCTTATTTTTTACTAGTATATACTTTATATGGTCTAATGTCAACGAAAATATTTTTATAAACCAAGTCTAGTTGTACATTGCTGAAAGCCCTACCCAAGATTTTAACAGGAGGTCGCACCTTCTCCACCTCTATCATTACACATGCAGAGGGTTAAAGGAGCACATCCAAGTATGTGATTTTCACCTTATGTTCTGTCTATTTATGGAACTTCCATGTTATTATTTAGAAAGCTGATCATGTTGGCATCTTCATACCATCATTTTAGAACTATGGCTGGTAGCATATAGTTATTTCATTTTATGACATCATAGACTGTCCACATAAACTAGCAAAATATGCTGTTACTCGGTATTGTTTTGGGACACAGATATTTTTTGCGTCCTGGACTCATGCTTTTCCTGTAAGCTCAACCAAATTTTGGAAGCCCACTATATTTCTCTGTAACGGAACTCATAACAGTAATAATTTTAAAAACAATGTTCTGGCCTCGTCTGGTTACGCTAATGTATACTGTGATGACTGATCCAATGCGTATTAATCTGTGAAGTGTAATATATCGGAAATCCGGTGTTAGGGATGAAAAGTGCAATTACAAACTCTCAAAATATTGAAACAAACATCACAAAAATATCCATAAATTGCTGTTAATACATGCAGATTGTAGCCACCTTTTGAGGTATATGATATTGTCAGGGTCACAGGTCAACTTATGTGCATGTTTCTGGCTATCAATCACTCGGGCATTATCCCTCCTTCTCATGGGGAGCTTGTCCATAGGACAATCTGAAATACAAAACCATATTTTATAAACCAAAGTTTTTTTTTTACTTTATGGAATTGTATATATGACTTCCTCCCTGCACAGTGTACTAGCTGTGATGACATAGCTTCTGATGACAAGATTCGTTTTGTTATTGCGTCGTCAGAGCTACATGAACCAGTCCTATGCCAACAAATGGAGCAAAATCAAAAAAGTGAAATCTGTAATATATTACATATAATTCAAGCCTCATACAAGTATAGTGTTATTAAAATAATGCATAATTGATTAAATAAGAAATCCTTACTAATAAAATAACCCTTTCACAAAATTAGCCAAGTCCTTCTTGGAAAAAGGAAAAGAAACTAACGCCATGACAGATCATGCATGAGGTTATCTCAATTATCCTGCATGACCAAATAAAGTATTACTACTGATGCCGCCATGTTAACTGCAATTTCCATATTGGGTCATGACACCCATATATAGACGGCTGACCTCATATCTGAAGAGACTTTTTAGAGAGACAAACTTTCCAACATGGTGCTAAATTCAGATTTCGATTGTGCTTGCTACGTTTACTTGATAATTAAACGACGTTTTAGGCAGAGTTTAACTTCAAGTTTACAGGATATCAACAGAAACAGTTCATACTACAACCCTATGTATGGATGCGGACCAATGTGCTGTCAATTAATTTTAAAATCAGCCCGGTGTGATTCACACCGGCCTTGCTCCATTACAAGCCATGGGATAGATTAATAATCGGCCGGGTAATAATGGTATAATATTAGTACTAGGAAACTTCATCCTATGTCTTACACCCTTCACATAACAGTCATTTTTTTTAGGATTTTTCTTAAACTAAACTTTTATCCTGAATAAACCAATAATAACACGTATAATAAAAGCAATGTTTCCAAATATAGCTCATAATATAGTTTTAACTGTATATACGGACAACTTTTAACGGCCTTGTGTGGAAGCCACGCCACACTAGACTCCCTGTGAGTTGATGCTGTGTGACGGCCCTTCGCAGTATTCCAGTAAATTACATATGCTAGTCAGTGGATGTTTGGTTATTGAAGTATACTTAACATTGGCTATTTACCTAAAATAAGGGAAATCTGCCCACATAGACAGTAGTACACATAAAGAGGTTTTTCGCCTTGATATTCTTCTTGGTCTTTTGTATCAGTGCAAACAACACTGCGAGAAACAACCTTCGGCATTATTCAATCTTCGTTTTCACTTCACTTTTTGTTAAAGCACAGTGTGATGAACGTCACTTCCGTCTGATCGCCTTAACATTACAAATTTATACATTAATGGTATCAATAATATTATAACCTTTGTATGCATATGAAAACAAAAGTTTCAGTTTTAGTTTTGATGTATATTTATGTTACTTAATGAAATTATATTCATATATATGTGGATTTATTGGTTATTATTTGGTGTTTAAGCGACAGTAGGCATGTAATGATGACGTCATATTTGGATTACACAGTTCCGGTGTAAGGTAAAAATGGAGCAGCCGTCAAGCCTTCCTCAGATACCGGTTCCTTCGGTTCCTTCTGCTACAACAAAACGTAACAACTCCCCTCGTGTTGCTAATGGGTCCACAAGCATTAAATACGAAGACTTAAACTTTCAATTTATTCCAGAAGAGAGCAAATACGAAAAACTGACGAAAATTGGACAAGGTACTTTCGGGTACGCAATTTTACCAAATAAATTCATAAAACACAGCATGGTCATCAAAAACTTATATATGTATAGACCATATGCCATTGGTGTTTTCTTATTTACCTGAATGTTTAGCGTATCAACACAGGAGCCTGCAGTTCTGTCAATAATGAATAATAACGGTAATACAAAACAAATATTTATTTTTTAAGCATATTATAGGTATTTTCTTTTGTATTACTGTTATTATACTTGTGTGTATGCTTGTGTGTGTGCTAGAGATGTAATGTGTAAATATTGATGCCCAATAGAAGGAAAGTACTATATTTCCTAATATCACAAATGGTGTGCGTCGATCCCCTCCATTTTTCTGATGAAGCCTGGTGTCGGGCCAGAGGAAACTCTGGCTTAGTCCCCTCTCTTTGGTGTGGGAGTAAGTATCTTGGCTGTAGTGGAGTTCAGAAAAATGGAGGTTATAATGTGGCAAGTTTTAATTCTCTATCATGTTTGGCATGACTAGAAAATCTGGGGTCAGTACATTTTCACAAGAGGTGTTCAGAGGAATGTAGTACAAATTGACTTCCATTTGTTTAGAGTTTGAAGATCCCAGTTCTAATTCTTGTCTGGCAGTTTCATTATTACACATGTCAGGTGAGGTCTCATATAAAATACATGCAACAGGGTCAGATTGGAAATTGAATCTAGGACCTAACTCTAGACAGATGCTTCAAACAACTGAGCTACACCAGTGTTCATAACAAGTCGTACTATACATTGTACACCTACCTCCCTTTCCAAGATTTTATGAAAACTAGATTTAGGCATTGTAACCCATTACCAAATACATACAGTACTTGAAAAAAGGGTTTGTCACAGGCACCATAGTAACAGGACCTTGAGGAAAATAGTAACAAAGAATTGTTATTTTTTTACTTCACTTTTTTCCCTTTGTTAGGTTGATTATACAGAGACAAATGTTTCTAAATTGAATAATCACTAAACTTTGAATCGGAAGATGGTTAATTGTCCATGTCATTTGACAAATGTTTAAAATAAAACAGAAAAAGAATTCTGCAGGAACTCCAAATGTGAAGTACATTTACAAACATTTTGAGATTACATGGCACAAAATTAAGTGCCTGCAAGCTGATATTATTCAATTCAGCTGAATAAATTAAATAGCCTGTTTACTTGCAGAACTGCTGATTTTTCAGAAGATTTAGAATGATACATGATTTTAACACACTACAGGAATTAGGTGTTAAATACTTCAACATTTGTTTCTGAATTAACTGTGGTAAGAGTAATGATATTTGGCATAAACAGAGTACCTTGATATGTGTGCATGGTACTATCAAATGCGAAGGGTTATCAAATTTGTTCCAAGGAATGATCTCTGACGTCTTCAATGTCATAATGTCGAGTATGAGTAAAACTAAAATCTTCTACAGAAACATAATGCCTGGAGTCGTGACATTTGGCATATAGTTTGGACGCATATGGAGTGCTATTAAAATGTTCTAGTGACTAATCTTGCTCCGCTTTCAAGGTCAAAGGTTTCAAATCATTAAGACAACTTTGTTTTACAGAACAATGCAAATTTAAGTCGTGTTATTTTTCCTGTAGTTTGGATGAAGAGCCATTGAATGTCTTTTACATTTGTTCTGAAATATGTTGACCTCTTTAAGGTCACAGTGGTCAAATGTGTTCAACTTACTTCTATAGAATCAAGGAATTTAGAGTCTTGACATTTGATGTGCAGCTTGCTTAAATGGAAAGCTACCAATGTAACAAAGGAATGACCTTGACCCTTTCAAGGTCATATGGTCAAAAGTGTCAAATATATATAAAAAAAATAAAATAATGAATAACCAAGGGGCCTTAAGGGTCATGATATTTGGCTTGTAGCATGTTGAGATGGATTTAAGGGTTACTATGTTGGCTAAAATGAATGACCTTCATCCTCTATTAATGTCACTAGGTGTCAAATCTATTATAAACTTGAAAAATTTCTTCTGAATAGCCAAGAAACCTAAGGTCTTAATGTTATGAAAAAGGCAGTAGCATGCAGGGTTGAAAGACTATCAAATGTGTCAAAATGAATGACCTTGATACTCTTTCAAGGTCACAAGTGTCCAATGTGTTCAAACCTTAAAACAACTTCTTCTAAATAGCTAATATGCATAGATTCATGATATTTGGCAAAAGACATGCTTGGTTATAAAGGACTAACAAATCTGTATAAGTGAATGACCTTAGCCTTTTTTCAATGTCATACCTGGGGCCCATGTGTCCAGGGCCTCGATATTTTTTCTGAAGCATGCATGGATGAAGGGCTATCAAGTTTGTTCATATGAAGAATCAAATGAATGATCAAAGGTAACTAACTAAACAATTTGTACTTCATGGTTAAGTATGATGCCTAAATAAAAGTATAATTCTTATTACAGAGAGGTGTTTAAAGCCAGAGATAGGAAAACCAAAAAACTTGTGGCCATGAAAAAAGTGTTGATGGAAAATGAGAAAGAAGGGGTAAGTAATCCTGATTTGTTATTTTAGAAAAGGATAATGACTTGTGGGTAAGACATAATCTCGTTGTACATCATATAATAGGTGTCGGATCGGTTTATGATTTGCCAGTAGGTCAGTGGTTGGTGCAAATGGAGTGGTCCAATGGGCTAAATAGATAATTAGGGAATACAAACTAATATTTCTACATTTTAATTATGTAATTTAATTTTTATACGTCTGTCGAAGACGGGGACGCATTATGTTATCACGTGAGCGGGCGGGTGGGCGGCATGCGAACGATGTCCGCTCGATATCTCGAGTAGTTATTAACGGATTAACTTTAAACTTCACAACAAGGTTAATTCCCATGAAAGCCCGGACAAGTTCGATAACCGCCATTATCCGATCATAATTTGTGGAGTTATGGCCCTTTATGGACTTGCCGAAACAGTGTCCGTTCGATATCTCGAGTAGTTATTAACGGATTAACTTTAAACTTCACAACAAGGTTAATTACCATGAATGCTCGGAGAAGTTCGATAACCGCCATTATTCGACCATAATTTGTGGAGTTATGCCCCTTTATGGACTTGCCGAAACAGTGTCCGCTCGATATCTCAAGTAATTATTAACGGATTAACTTTAAACTTCACAACAAGGTTAATTACCATGAAACCTCGAACAAGTTCGATAACCGCCATTATCCGACCATAATTTGTGGAGTTATGCCCCTTTATGGACTTGCCGAAACAGTGTCCGCTCGATATCTCGAGTAATTATTAACGGATTAACTTCAAACTTCACAACAAGGTTAATTACCATGAAACCTCGGACAAGTTCGATAACCGCCATTATCCGACCGTAATTATTGGAGTTATTCCCCTTGGTTTCATTAATGCGATGCATGTGTTCCATGATGTTGTATTGCACTCATTGATCTACCAGTTATGTTGAATGATTTCTCTTTTAATATCAATTACTCACAAATACTTCATATATTTCAATCATACAAACAACTGCTCATTCAATGTGTGATGGGCGTATTATATACCGCTCGCGGTAACCTTGTTTTTTAATACCCCGGCCTGCAACACAGTGGCGAGGCATTTAGCAGTGTTTACCTTTTTCAAAAAAATGGTCCTTAAAACATCTTCGACTTTACACTTTACTCAAATACAAGAAATCTGACATTTATCAGACTTTATGTGCATATACATTTAGAGGAGTTAAATAGCAATACAGTATGTCAAATGTAGATCACTGTTACCTATATTTTCTGATTCACACACTTTGATTACACTTTGCAATTAGCTCTATTTCCCTAAAAGTCACATTTATCAAACTTCATACAGTAATAGATTTGGAGAAGTATCAAATGTAGGTTACTGTAACTTACATTTTATTTCTGCGATGAGTTTGGTCAGACTTTGCACTTTATTTCATTTCTCTTCATGCTGGAAGTCAAAAAGTCATAAAGTTCCTTGTATGTATGAGGAGAACTACAGCAGCATTTCAAATTTAGGTCACTGTGACCTATTTTCTGTTTCACTAGCATAACTTCTGGTCAGGCTTTGCATTTAGCTCTATTTCTTCAGTTTAATAGTGCTTTTACCTTTATTTTCATTTAAGCAGGTGCATGTGCATATACATGTACAATGTATATGTTTCACAGTTATTTTTAAGCCTGCAGAGATGGGGCATGCAAGGTAGTCCAGTGGTAGGACGCCGGGCTCGTGACCGAAGGGTTGCAGGTTCGCGCCACAGAACGGCAATGTGTTGTATCATTGAGCAAGATACTTTACTCCGCTTGTTCCAGTCTACTCAGCTGTAAATGAGTATGTGGTTGGGTAGTGTTAGAATTGTTGGATGCTAGCTGTTAGCGCCGAAATGGCAGCTCTGGCTGTATGCTCCCCAGGGAGTTGAGAAAGGTATTGGCTGGTTGCAAAGGCCCTATAACCACGGATAATAATTTGTGAACCGCTTTGAGACGACCTACATAAGGACCTCCAATTATTATTATGATATGCAATCTTTATGTTAACCTGCCCTTGTATCTGTCCACCTGTCAATCCTTGAACATCCTTGTTCACTTTGTTTTAGCTCCATTTCTCTGGTACTACAAGTGCTAGTCATCAAACTCATCTTCACTATGACTAGCATGCTTCACTAACTTATGTTAGACTTTGTGTTTAGCTCTATGTATGCAGACTTGACATTTTAGGGTATATGCTCACTTACATTTTCTGCATCCCTGAAATATGTCGTCAAAAAATTGAAGACTATTTGCCATCTTGTGGATAATAACAACTAGACTAGTTTCATCATTGGATGTACATCTAATTAGTGGGGCAGCATAAACAAATAATGGTAAAACTGACCTACTTTGAAATCGTGTCCGACTCCTCTGTAATCTTAAAACGACAGGTATCAGCTTAGGGATTTGTCAGTTTTTGAACAACTTTTTCATCCCAAAAGTCGATCAAGTAGCTGACTTTGTACCTTCATTATTGTCACAACATATTCCAGGTGTGAAGAGAATGTAAGTGAGCGTAACCCCTGGAATTTTGAGGATGCATGTGTGTGGTTAAACTTTGTGTTTTATTCCATTTATGTGATTGAACTTTGTGTTTGAATCCATTTATGTGATTAAACTTTGTGTTTACCTTTATTTACACCAAAGAGGGAGCATGTCATTTTATAAAAAAAAAATCAAGTTTAGTCCTTATTCAACGTTCCTCTACAACCTCTGATAAAAGTAATATAAATCGTTTGTATTGCATGCTTGTTGGGGATTTTACAGGCATTGCAGTATAGAAAAAGTAATATCAGCAATACACAAATTCATATCATGGAAGTACACGTAATACCTACAAATGTACACCGAGCAACTTATTATCAGAATTTCCTGGTGTTTGGCACGATTACCACACTGTCATTATAAATGTAGATAATCATAACTTCAACAACCTATTAAAACAAGCTAGAAGTGAGTATACATTGCCCTGGGAAGATGTTGTACAAAACATGTTGCTGATTGGTTATTTTGCATATTTTTGTATTTTGCAAAAATTCATTGTTATTTCAGTTTCCTATTACTGCTTTGAGAGAAATCAAAATACTTCAGCTACTCAGACACGAGAATGTCCTGAATTTGGTAGAAATTTGCAGAACAAGAGGTAGGTGCTTCGTGTATACAATCCAAGAAAGAATAACTCAATGCATTACTTATACAGGATATTATTTTTGTGCAAAAAATATTAAAACCAAAATAATGAAAATCATTAAAACCCTGCAAGAAAACAAACCTTTACAGTAACTTTTTACAAGATTGAGTTGTCTGATGTGAAATCTTGTGAGTTGCTGTGAAATATCTTGGTTTTCCAAGTAGTGTTGGGATAGTCTTGCATTAAGGGTTCGTTGTACTATATCAAAAGGCTGTGAATAAGTCTGTGAGTGTGTGACTTATCTATAGTTTAAACAATGTGAAATATAGCTCAATCTTTACTCAAAGCTAGCTCAAGTAACATGTAATTAATTTTCAAATTGCATAAACACAAAATATTTACTGATACATGTCTTAAACAATTTAAAATTTTATTAATGAGAATTAGATAAACATGATAATTAGCAATCACAAGTTCTGGGATCTTTTTCTACCATACATCCATATTTTATCTAGAAAACCATATGTTTCCCTTTGAAATACATTATTTCTGTTTCTATTTGGGGAAACAGTTGCCATGAATTACGACATCACAGTGGAAGATGACAATGCAAAGCACTTTTTCATGTCATAATTTTAGCATTGACCAATAAAATAACACCCAAGGTCTTTCCAACCAGAGGGTAAACAAAACTAGTTTGCCAAATTCTAGCATGTTTATTCAATGCATTGAGCATGTGGAAACCTATAATGGTTGTGGGAGAATAATGAATATTTCCTGATTTTAAATTTTTATTATAAAATCATTTATTTTGTCACCCCTCCTGATTGAAGGAATTGTGTCACATGATTCCTGAAAAAAAATGATATTGACTGTCTGTTTAAAAAAAAAGCACAAATAGATATAAAAAATCTGAATTACCTCCATTATCAAACATGGAGCAATCAATTACAAAATAGACAAGTAAGGAAGTGTTCTGACATTTTGAAATTTCTAGATTTAAGAATTGGATATATATTTCAGACATGTATGTACAAATATATTTGATTTTGTGGTGCTTTAATTAATGATTTCGGCATGTTTTCTTTTACAATGTTTTTAGGTCACCTGACCTAATTTGCTCAAGTGACCTGTTCTGATCGCTGTAATTTCTATCTATCGTCGTGTGTAAACTTTTTACAGTTTTAACTTCTTCTCATGAACTGGATGATGGAATTTTTTAAACTTGCTCAGAATAATTCTTGGTAGATGAGGCTACAAAATTGTACAAATGTAGGGGCCAGGGCGGGGTCCCAAATGGAAAATTAATTGGTATTTCAAAAGTCTTCTTCTCCAGACTCTGAGGTACTACAGTAAATTTCTCTGCATGGATGGAAAGACCATGGCCATCAAAGGCTTTATGTAAATTGTAAAATTCAATACCCCTGGGCCATCAATTCTCCAATGGGGAGTTGACTCAAGTTTATATTTTGTGAATTTTCAGCAGGAAATTATTCAAACTTGGTTGGAATGATTATGGTGCCAGATGGCAATTAGATAGTATGAGTAAATAAGATTCTGCCCTATTCCCAGAAGCTGGAGGGGTGGGGCCAGAATGGGGAAAATGATAAAAGTTAAAAAATTCTTCATCAGACTTAGATGTTTTACAAACAAATACACTTCATGGACAGAAATATGAAAATATAAGATCCGTCCTTGCCCCAGGGGCAGGAGGGAAGGGGCCAAAAAGGGGAAAATATAAATTGTTAGTTTTATTACTCCTTAGTCAGCTGTTTTCCTTGGTTTATAAAGAGAAATAACACTTCTGACTATATCTTGTCAATTTCAGCAAGAGATAATTCAAATTTGGTTGGAACAGTTATGATGAAATTGAAATCAACCAAGATCCTGACCTATCCAAGGGGTTGGAAAACTGGCTACTTAATAATAGACATCATATTTCTCAATTGCAAAAGAATTTATTTGAATAGCTTTTAAAGTTCTTAAATCCTTTAGTGACATGACAAGTATTGTATTTCACTCTGTTTGCATGTTGATTTCCACATCAAATCTTAACAATAAAATTGAGCTACCAGTACCTATAATATAACTCAGATGACCAGTAAGGCCCTTGGGCCTCTTGTTCAGTTTATACAGTTACGTTCCATGGTATTAGAAAAATATCACTTTATAGTAAAATTATTATAGCTTTTTGATTTCGGTTGAACCATGGTTCTATTGACCTTGCCAAAAGGCTATAATTTTGTAGTATGCTTTCTTAACCTTCTTTTCTTCTCTCCAGCCACACCATATAACAGAGGGATGAGTACATTCTACATGGTGTCTGATTTTGCTGAGCACGACCTAGCAGGTCTCCTCAGCAACACACATGTCCGATTCAGTCTAGGTGAAATAAAGAAGATCATGCAACAGTTACTGAATGGTCTGTACTTCATTCATGAAAACAAGATTTTACACAGAGACTTGAAAGCTGCAAATATACTCATTACTAAACATGGTGTGCTAAAGCTGGCAGATTTTGGCCTTGCTCGTGCATGGAGCAAACCCCAACGTAGTGCTCAGAATAAGTACACCAATAGGGTGGTGACCTTGTGGTACCGTCCTCCAGAGTTGTTGCTAGGGGAGAGAAATTATGGGCCGATCATAGACCTGTGGGGTGCAGGATGCATTATGGCGGAGCTGTGGACACGCACACCAATCATGCAGGGAAAGACTGAACAGAATCAGATGTTCTTGATTTGCCAGCTGTGTGGTTCTATTACCACTGATGTGTGGCCCAATGTGGACAAGTATGACCTGTTTACTCAGATGGAACTGCCCACTGGTCAAAAACGCAAAGTTAAGGACAGACTGAAAGCTTACGTTAAAGACCAATATGCTCTTGACCTCATTGACAAACTGCTGGTACTTGACCCTTCAAAGAGGTATGATGCAGACACTGCACTGAATCATGATTTCTTCTGGACAGAACCAGAACCAATAGACCTGGCCGAAACCTTGTCTAAACATACAACCTCCATGTTTGAATACCTGGCTCCACCTCGGAGAGGGGTTCAACAAGGACATCGCCCCAATCCCAACCAGGCAAACATGCATCGTCCTGTACATAACAATGACCAGCACTTTGACCAAGTCTACTGATGTGATGGGCATGGATTGTCTACATGTACTAGTTTGAAGCAACAATAGGTTTTGTATAATTTTCACATTCTCACAAGTATAACAGTCTACATTATTTTTTGCTGATTTTTAGCTCAGCTGGTGCAAATGTGTGAGATAAGTATATGGTAATTATTATCTGTGCATCGTTCCCCAGTGTCAAATTCTTAACTACTCAAGAAAAAGCAATATGATTTTGGTCAAGCCACTCACACATAGTCTTTGAATGGCACTGATCAAAAGGTGATATTGTTTTGTGCAATTTAAAAACCAGTTGAGCACTCTAGCCTAAATATCAGCTGAGTTAATTTTATCCTCTTCGAAAGTTTCATCTGACCAATCTTCACCAGTTTCAGTACAGTTAATCAACATGATCTTGACCAATGCATATGCATGTTGTGATATTTTCCAAGATGAGCACCATTTGAATTGTTAAACTTGTTGGTATTTTAATTAACTTCCATCAGACTGATTTTGACCAGATTTTGCACAAATCATCTTCTCATGATAGACCTTACCAAGTGGTGATTCAAGTTGGTCATGATCCACCTGGACTGGCTAATACATTTTTTTTAGTTCCATCAACCAAACTGGACCGAAATTAAAGACAAATGATCCAGTCGATGATATGTTCATGACCAGATGATGTTATTTTCGCCAAGCGAAAGTCATAGATTATCACCCTCTCGTCTACATCTCCATAGTTCAATATATGGAATGGGATTTCAGTTGGTTCCTATACAATAATGGAAAGGGAAAGTTTGAGATATGATACCACAGCATCAACACATTATTTGGATATTTTCTGTATTGCCTTATGACACTTTCCGGTGATACTTGCTGATGGTGATGTCCGTGGATACATTTATAATAGGGTGTTATTTCTTAGTAGTCTGGGGATGATATTTGCTGATGCTGGTGCCTTTCAATTTCTGGAATTATTGCCCAATTACTTCTTCACTTTCAACGGTGCATGCTAACCAAATATGTCTTGATGAAAATAACAACCTCATCTCATGGCAGGCTTTTCTTCTGGTGAGGGGCTATATTTCGTACTGATAATTTTATGATTAAATATGAGTGTGTTTGAGTTACATTTTGTATGCTGTTGGAGATTGAAAGTTTCCATGCCAAAGTTTGACTAATTACGGGTTCATATTAGATTTTAAGTGACATACACAGTTTACTTGGTTTGATGGGTGGAATAGTGGATTGTTCCAGAGTGCATGGTTTCGCCTCTAGTTGGATGGTGGGTTGTTCCAGGGTGCATGGTTTTGCCTCTAGTTGGATGGTGGGTTGTTCCAGAGTGCATGGTTTTGCCTCTAGTTGGATGGTGGATTGTTCCAGAGTGCATGGTTTTGCCTCTAGTTGAATGGTGGATTGTTCCAGAGTGCATGGTTTTGCCTCTAGTTGGATGGTGGATTGTTCCAGAGTGCATGGTTTTGCCTCTAGTTGAATGGTGGATTGTTCCAGAGTGCATGGTTTTGCCTCTAGTTGGATGGTGGATTGTTCCAGAGTGCATGGTTTTGCCTCTAGTTGGATGGTGGATTGTTCCAGAGCGCATGGTTTCGCCTCTAGTTGGATCGTGGGTTGTTCCAGGGTGCATGGTTTCGCCTCTAGTTGGATGGTGGATTTTTCCAGAGTGCATGGTTTTGCCTCTAGTTGAATGGTGGATTGTTCCAGAGTGCATGTTTTCGCCTCTAGTTGGATGGTGGATTGTTCCAGAGCGCATGGTTTCGCCTCTAGTTGGATCGTGGATTGTTCCAGAGTGCATGGTTTCGCCTCTAGTTGGATCGTGGGTTTTTTCATGTTTCCTGTGTCTTTACATATCGATTTACTCAGATTTATTGTTTTTATGGTGAAGCTGTAGTATTTTTTCTTATTTTACTTGGTCTCAGATTTGCTACAAAACTAGGAAAACTCAGGAAAGTTTTTTTGTAAAATCATTTGGATTTAATGAATTAAATGTAATAATATTTTTTGATAGAATTAAGTTCTGTACACATGTAAGGAAATATTGAATGTTATTTGTTTTTGTTGAATTATTGATAAGAACTAAGTTGGTATGTTTAGTTTTCATTTGAAGCCAAGATGGCCACTTTGTTGAAATTATGTGATATTTTGGTTGAAAGTTTCTTCATATTTTTTTTAACTTTTAAATATCTACATGTGAAAGAAGCCATATTGTTTAGGATTCATGTAGTAGTATTGACAGTTGAAATGATTTTTATTGTATGAGACATATATTGAAATGCCTGTGATTGTCACAAATCTATTATTTTTCAGAAACATTCTTAAATTGAATTCTTTACATTCCTCTTAAATATTTCATATTCCATGTTTTGTAATTCATTTGATCTTCCTAGTCAATTTTTGATTTCTAAAATACAAAGATATTTTTCTATTTCATTTGTCATTCAAGGAGATATATCCCTTTTTCCAAATGTCGTAATCATTGCTATAAAGGGGCAATAATCCAAATGATACAAGATTATAATAGTGTTATTGAATCCTCACATATTTAATTAGTGAATTCAAACCAGTCTATTATGCCCCACCAACCGTCGGTCTGACTGGCCATCTGTGGGGTATCGCTCTTCTCAAGACATTGGAACTCCACAGGATAACATTCGTTGGTCTAGTTAAAAGGTCAAAGGCCAACATTGATATAACTGTGAGGCATTTTGTGAAAAGTAATTCTTGATTCATATATCTTTCCACACACTCAATCTTGATTGTACTGACATCTTTAGACTTTCTTAAAAGTTTGAGTTATTGAAAATTATTTGTTTCAATTTAAATGAAATGAAAGAAAAATGCGTTCTTTTCATAGCTTTAGTTCTATATACCATGGTAATAATTTAAGCGTTATTCAATTATTTCCGCAACTCTCTTCAGAATTATGGTTTTGTAACCCTACACATTGAGTGCAGTTTAACATTTACAGGAGCTTTTCAAAATCATGTTTCCTACATGTAACATCATATTTGTAAATTTACAATATAATCGCTTACCACTTGCTTGTCTGCAGGTTTATAAAGTGCCTCGATGATGTTGCACATCGGCAAGTCATATACAGGAAATCAATACTGATTGAATACACTGTATACAAGCATACACAAAGTGTGCATATAGCAGATTAAGTGCTGCTCTATTTAAAATCGTTATTCATTCATTCTGACAAATGTATATAATTATGATATTCAATACCTCAAGATATGAGAATGATTTAACCTCGTTGTATGAGTTAATGCTATGACAGGGTGTTAATACACCCGATACCACTGCTAGCCTATTAATGGTGCTACAAGTTATTATAATGACCAACCTATTGTTAGTTTTGTAATTAATTCTTCTATTATTTCATTGAACTAGAGTTATTACACATTATGACTTCGCTCACTATTCCATTAATTGGATGTTTTGGAATAAACGTTGTTAACCACTTTTCAATAACCGTTGTTGATTCCATCTTTGTCACCATCTTGTTAGTTGTGTGTCTAGCTTACAGGTGTTACTTTAACTATGGTTTGGATTTAGCAGGTAATGAAACTTCCGAGACACTTTCGATTCCCTGCCGAAAAGTTACAAATGTTAGTGTCGCATTGATGGTGACGTCATAATTTGGCGTAAAACCTAAAAAGATGCGTTTATGATGCAGGTGATTTTTGGTGTCGTGGATTTGGCAAAAAAAACCACCCAGTGATTGTCGGGGATAACTGCAGGCTACATAACGTATTTGTTGTCCCTGAACACAAGATACACGTGCTTTTTTATTTGTTTTGCGTGTCATATTTACGATATGGAATATGCATATAGCCAGCTTTCATACCTGCATGAACACTGAAAATTGTCCTTCAATCCCGATGTGAAACCATGGCCAGTTTTTTGGAGCCATATTTCAAGTCAAAAAGACACGAAAGACATGTTGCCGGTTGCAATTAAAATGATCTTGTAGTACCTTCCCTTGGTCATTAATGCAGGACTATGAAGTATTTATCGTACCGCCCTATTATTTCTTATCTCTAAACAAGTAACACCAAATTATTTTAATGTCCACATAGCTTTTGTCAACATCATTTCGGTGATAATACCAACATTTTTAGGTCACCTGAGCTTAAGCTCAAGTCGATCAGAAATCAAATATGGGCGCCATGGCCGCCATTTTGAAAAACTATTTCAAAATTAAAGTCAAGTTTTGCTGAGCAAATTGAACTGAAACTTTGTAGGAATTATCAACTCATGGTCCTGACAAAGTGTTGTTATTTTTCGGGTGTATCAGAAACCCAATATGGCCGCCATGGCCACCATTTTGAAAAACTATTTCAAACTTAAAGTCAAGTTCTACTGGGCCGATTGAACTGAAACTTTGTAGGAATGATCGACTCATGGTCCTGACAAAGTGTTGTTATTGTTCGGGTCGATCAGAAATCCAATATGGCCGACACGGCCGCCATTTTGAAAAAAGTATTTCAAACTTAAAAACAAGTTCTAATAGGCCGATTTAACTGAAACTCGGTCTAGGAATGATCAGCTCATGGTCCTAACAAACTTAAGTTAACAACAATAATAAATACTGTAGGACTCATGTGACCGTCTAGGCCCATGGGCCTCTTGTTATTTTTTCGTTATGTTTTCTGTAGCTGTAGATCTATGCGAAGTTCTGTTCTACAACAGAAACTTCAATATCCGACCCAAGTTTCTTTACACAAGAGTGGAAGTATTTCATAACATCTCAACCACATCCCACTTCCTGGAAATATTGAACCTTAGTCACTTATTGATAGTCATAACAACCATATTAAAACTGCCGCGAGGAATCGTGTTTCTAGTGACTCTGTCTTTTTGTTAAATGTCATATGATCATAAGAACTAAATAATGATAGGGCCGTTTCCCAGAATCAAAAGAAGTTTGGTGACAACATGTCCAGAGAATTTTGAATAAACTTAAAATAAACAAAATAACTTTCTAATGTTGTCATGGCTATTGTAAAACAGATAATGTTTAAGTGTGTAGGGATTGAATTCGCCATTCACATTTATTACGTTGTTCGCTGTTATGATGAATTCGCTCCCAATCCAGAGGGCGAAAAAGGCGAAAAATTCCCGTTATACAGTAGTCATAGGAATTGTTAGAAATAGCTTTAATGCAAGTTTGCATAAACACATACGTATATTTTATTTCGCGATATAACATACACATTAATGAAACACATTCTTTGTTGTATATCGGTATTTTATTTTTGTAGTAAGGTGTAATTGCAGTCTCTGGACTGAAAACAACCCACGCTACGATACCCAAGGTCCCCAGAATCCTCCATGAAGTGCGGGGTCAGCCTTGGGATCTGGATCTGGGAAGATACATGGTACGGCAGTACTGTTGATTTGGTCCAACATACCCAACAGCTTCCTCGTTATGTCGGGGTATACATCACATAGATCATCCATTTCATTGGGGTCTTTGCTTAGGTCAAATAACCACAGATTTTTCGACGGCTCGCCACCGCTGCCACGTTTTGTTTCCAGACCAGCACATTCCCCGGCCACCCAGCTACCATTACCTATATATGGGAACATATTGCTTTGATAACTGTTTGATTTCTCCAGTTGATAACGCAAAAACATACTGTGAATTATTAGTTGTGAAGTTCGTAGATTACCGCCATTGAACTACAAAGCAGACAAATCATAATCCAAATGAAACGCATTTCAGTTTCAGATCATTTTAGAGAAATTGTATTGAAGTAGTGATCCAAAATCAACATGTTTCTCACCCGGATTGCCTGTTAGGATTTTCCAGTTCTTCCATCTGAGTGCTGCCCTCACTCTGGTGTCAAACGTGTCATTATACACCCTCTCTCCTATAGGGTGTGTGCGAGGGTCGATGTTGTGCAGAAGAATATCTCTGGGGCTGATATTTCCATTGCTACATAATTAATGACGTTGAATTACATGTATAAAATGTGTTTATTTGAACGAACATTGATGATAGTCTTCGAGACAAGCAGGTGTTGAATAAAAGGTATTGCGTTGAATGTATTCACTAGAAAAACGTTCAGAAATGAAAATAATCGATATAGAAAGCAAACATTTTTACTGATTTTCCAAATACAAACATGTATATCGTTACTGATTTCAGCTGACAGAATTTCGGATTTGTTTATCGCCTTTTGACCATATTTTTCAAGTGTGAAAATAAGGAATCAATGAAAGACGTGTTTGTACTAAACCAAAAAAATAGGTATTGGTATTAAAAACCTGGATTATCATCCAAAATGCAGAATAAAATAATGTAAAAGATGTACTTTTCGTTAATTCTATTAGTACTGCATACTGGGAAATTTTCGCCACAATTTAAAGTTCGCTCTTTTCGCCCTCCGCAATAAGGGCGAATTTTAACGACGGCGAATAATAAGTACGCAGCATTCCCTATATGGTGATCATATGTGAGGGTGAGATTAACACCGGTTGAATACACATAGTATATATACATGTAGTAGGTTTTACCAGTGAAGGGCGAATATTTGACTGAGCGGAAGTTTCCTGCGTACGCGTCTCATATTTCACGAATATAATCACAGTCTCCACAAGGATACTGATAATATCTTTAATAAGTTAATTCAAAATTAATTTTGTTTCTTGCGTATATTTTGAAGGAATCGATGAATTAGCTGAATAGTATTATCAAATTAAAGATATTTGATAGTTTTCGTAGTTTGGAACTCGTTTTGAAAGGAGTTCTGTGACATAGTTAAGTTGTCATATATCATTAACTCATTCAACCCAGAAATTTCATAATGAACTATTCCAGCCTTTGAATTGGAAGAGTTTAAATGCGTCTTCAGGGGCGAATGAGTTAGTCTTCATATTAACGAGTCATTGATACTCATGGTTTAACAGTAATATTTGTTTCACATGACATAACCTTAAGATATCAATGCTCGAAAAACCATTGAAGGTTTTAAGTTATTGATTTCATGTATGCCATTTAGCAGCGTAACACATTTGTTTTCGTTGTAAAGCTGACAGTAAAGTACAAACAAAACAGCATGGCCGACATTGAGGTGTAAGTTGTTGTAACATTTGTTCAATTCACCTGTATGGGATTGTGGTATACCATGTTTAGACTGGCTACCAGCCCCTTAGTTTTATGAAGAATTTCTAAACTGCATTTTACTACTAGCTTATATTTGTCTCTACCTAGTTTAGAACGAAGGGCCTGGTCAAATCTGGAAAAGTACTCCCGGAATAGTGCTGAGTGCAGAAAGGTCAAGCCCAGTCTCATATTACTGAGATCATGCTGATTTGGATGTGACCAGAATTTTATTACCCTGGGTTCACAGGTGGTTGATGGAGTGGGGGGATTGGGCAAGAGGGGGTTTCTTTAGCTGCGTTCATATGGTCTTGGCTAGACATTATAGGGTCTGATTTATAACGTTGGATATTCCCTGAACATGGATGAAGCTATTTCCAAATCATTAAGAAATCTTAATTATTCAGAAATCGACCAAACTAAGAAAGAGTTGTCAAAATTAACCAACTGGAAGTAGAAAAAAGTTGACTTTTGAGATAGCCCCCTTTGTTTTCATAAACTGTACAAAACGCTCTGATGGAATTTTATCTGTGGTTGTTGGGTCACCATTGATTAGCTTTGATAAATTACTCAGACAGATATAAAAACTGTGTATTTACAAGGATGTTGAGGGTAAATAAAACTGCCATGATGTCTTTTTGAATCAGTTTTTAGCTAGCCTAGTCCGAAGGACCAGTGAGCTTATGCCGTGATACGGCGTCCGTCGTCCGTCCAACGTCCAACGTCAACTTTTTACTTTACGGTCCATAATATGATGGAATGAAGGGCAAATAAATTTGTTCAAATGAATGACCTTGACTCCTATTCAAGGTCACAGGGGCAAATATGTTTTTAAACCTTTAAGCGACATCTTCTGTATAACCGTGAGGCACAGAGTGTTGAAAAATGGCCAGTAACATGTTTTGATTAGGGCCTGTATAGTTTTTTTTAGCTCACCTGGCACTAAGGGTCAAGTGAGATTATTCCATGGTGTCGCGTCCATCGGTTCTATACCTTTAAGTTCTTAAAAATAAGTCATTTGTAGTTTTTGATAATTTGATCCCTGTGACCCTGAAAGTAGATTAATTTTCGGGCTCCATCCCAGGAAGCTACCAGTCAAATATTAAGATTCTATACCTTTCAGTTCTTTAGGAGAAGTTGTTTGAAGTGTTTGACAATTCTTAGCCCCGTGACCTTGAAACTAGGTCAAGGTCATTTTTGTTATCAAACTTTGTCTGGCTTTTACCAAGGAAGCTATCAGCTTTGACTCTAGGAGTTTCCATTCTTCACAAGAAGTCGTTTAAAGGAAAAGTTGACGGACGCCGGACGGACAGACGGACGGACGACAGACGCCGCGCCATGGCATAAACTGGCCAGTAACATGCTTGTGGATGAAGGGCTACATATATAGTTTTTAGCTCACCTGGCCCACAGGGGTCAAATGTGTTTGAATCTTTTAGCTTCTTTTGAATGACTGAGTGAAGACACTGATATTTTTGCCTGTTGCTTTATCTTAATCCACTTTTAAGGTTGCAGGTGTGAGATTAATACCAGGTGAGCGATGCAGGCCCATTGGAGCTCTTGTTATACCCAGTAGTTAGCATGAAAAATGTACAAAGTGGTTAAAAATACTGTATTATGTTTGCATCAACAGTATGTCGTAAGAAACACGACAGAATAAGCTAACCTAAACGTATATCAATGTAAAAGCCCATTATTTACTAGTTCAACCAGTGTGTACTCAGAAAAGGGAGTGGAAGCAATAACAGATAGATGCTGACCAGCCTTTGGTAATGAGAACCATTAATGCTCCCGGGGTGTTGCTAATTGTCTATAATCAGACATCCAAATGATCAAAATTATAAGTTACATTTTTCCCCCTAAATAATTCAATTTCTGGAGACGGGGCCCAGTTTATACCATATTATGTACATATATATTGATGCAACAATAGTGTGCTTTAATGATAAATTCAGGCAATACAATGTGATACAGTATAATGGATCATAGATATTCAGGTAATACAATGTGATATAATGAATCATAGATACACAATAGTGTGCTTTTCTGATAAATTCAGGTAATACAATGTGATATAATGGTTCATAGATATTCAGGTAATACAATGTGAGATAATGGATCATAGATATTCAGGTAATAAAATGTGATATAATGGATCATAGATACACAATAGTGTGCTTTTCTGATAAATTCAGGTAATACAATGTGATATAATGCATCATAGATACACAATAGTGTGCTTTAATGATAAATTCAGGCAATATAATGTGATATAATGGATCATAGATATTCAGGCAATACAATGTGATATAATGGATCCTAGATATTCAGGTAATACAATGTGATATAAAGGATCATAGATATTCAGGTAATACAATGTGAGATAATGGATCATAGATATTCAGGTAATAAAATGTGATATAATGGATCATAGATATTCAGGCAATACAATGTGATATAATGGATCCTAGAGAAACAATAGTGTGCTTTAATGATAAATTAAGGCAATACAATGTGATATAATGGATCCTAGAGAAACAATAGTGTGCTTTAATGATAAATTCAGGTAATACAATGTGATATAATGCATCATAGATACACAATAGTGTGCTTTAATGATAAATTAAGGCAATACAATGTGATATAATGGATCCTAGAGAAACAATAGTGTGCTTTAATGATAAATTCAGGTAATACAATGTGATATAATGCATCATAGATATTCAGGTAATACAATGTGGTATAATGGATCATAGATATTCAGGTAATCAATTTCTGGAGACGGGGCCCAGTTTATACCATATTATGTAGATATATATTGATGCAACAATAGTGTGCTTTAATGATAAATTAAGGCAATACAATGTGATATAATGGATCATAGATATACAATAGTTTGCTTTTATGATAAATTCAGGTAATACAATGTGATATAATGAATCATAGATACACAATAGTGTGCTTTTCTGATAAATTCAGGTAATACAATGTGATATAATGGTTCATAGATATTCAGGTAATACAATGTGGTATAATGGATCATAGATATTCAGGTAATAAAATGTGATATAATGGATCATAGATACACAATAGTGTGCTGCTTTTATGATAAATTCAGGTAATACAATGTGATATAATGGATGATAGATATTCAGGTAATACAATGTGATCTAATGGATCATAGATATTCAGGTAATACAATGTGGTATAATGGATCATAGATATTCAGGTAATCAATTTCTGGAGACGGGGCCCAGTTTATACCATATTATGTACATATATATTGACGCAACAATAGTGTGCTTTAATGATAAATTCAGGCAATACAATGCGATATAATGGATCATAGATATTCAGGTAATACAATGTGATATAATGGATCATAGATACATTAAGGGTCCCTGTCCCACTACAGGCAGAACACTAGTTTCTCTAGATACAACTGTAGTGTGGACCAGTTTACTATCATCGACCAGCTCAGATGGTTATAATGATCAGTGATCAATGGCCCAAATCCTGGTCTATTTGTACACTCAGAACACTGTTTTTTGTTTTGTTTATATAGTTATAGTTATCACGGGAAAAGCAGTTTTCATTGCAAAGTTACAATTTATTTTGCAGTGGTACGGGTCTCCTCAAGAAAGCATTTTACAGTGAGGTTATAGCACACAGCACATTTTCCTTTGAAGTCAGAGTGATTCCGACAAGTCTTACCTTAATGTTTTCCACTGGTCAATGCCATCCAATGGCTGTGTACCATTTAGTGAACCACCTGCCACGCCCACCAACGTTGGGTACCAATCGGATACGTGCATTAGCTCTTTGGAAACAACCTGACTCCGCCCAAGTATGCTGCCATGGACGAACGCCACCCCTCTGATTCCACCCTCCCAAAGCGAGCCCTTGAAACCTCTCAGTGGCCAGTTACTACCTCCTCCATGCTTTACTAGACCACCGTTATCTTAAACATACCAATTTATCAATTAATCATTTATGCATTTTAATGCATAGCTTAATATCCATAAACACACTTTGTGCAGGTGCTTTCTGGGTATAGTGACAAAATGCACCACGAACGGGCAAGGTAAAGTTGGACAGTTATTCGTTATTCGTTATTCGGAATAACGAATAACTGTCCAACTTTACTTTCCGTATGTTTGTGTTTTACATCCTATTAAGGTGGCTCCACACTTTCGCAATTAACCAGCAAAATTCGTTGAAACTTTCAAATAATGGTAATGCAACTATGTAGAGTTAATTTTATGAAAATCTAAACATTCCGATAGTTTGGGAACTTTTTTGGAAAAAATATCAAAAAATTGAATTTTCGTCAATTTTAATATTTTCCGTTTTTTTTTTTGGGTGTGGCATTGTTCGGAACAATAACAACAATAAAAAAAGGAAAAGAAGCATTTCTAATTAACCCTACAAATATTTTATTTATCGCAAAATATGTAACACATGTTACACAAAGTGTTTTTTATTGAATTTGTACGGATAAAAGTGATTATCTACAAGCTAAAAGCAAACAGGACACACAGATCTATACATATAGAGTGGGAAATTGAACAAAATATACACAATGGCTTTATAGTTAATTTATTTTACATTTTACAATCACTTTGATCCAGGTGAGAGTTATCTTCCTTGAAAAAAATCGGAACATTTTGCAGAGGGATGACATTTACACAATGACAGGTCAGTTGTCTCTGTTTACATATAACAAAAATGATGGAAATAAATCAAAAATATGATATCAAAATTATCAATTTATTGTTCTTTAATGGAACCAAATTACCCTCAGTCATGTACACTTTGGACATCATTCAACAGTCCGCTAACTCACGGTATATTTATAATTACATGTCAGGTACATATGTGACAATTAAGAGGCTATCGCATGGTATGCCGTTCTCACGTGCACTCACACATGCATTTCATAGGTTTCTTGATATTTTACAAAACATTATTTTCACAGAGTAAGTAGACTACATTTGTAAACACGATTTAATCGACAGAGCGAAACTCCCTTAACAGCGAAAATCGTAACGACCTCGAGCTTATGAACTCGTGTAAGCACGTGATATGCACACATGTAAGGTTGGTACGTCCGCATTCCATGTGTTTCCTATATGACCTTCTTGAGGGCGTCTGGTCTCATGTCTCTGTCTTCCCGTGAGTCTGTTTATGTCTATGAATTGGAAAGCTTTATTCATGAAGTACGTGTGATTATACATTTCCAGGTAAAATCTCGATATCGGGTGTTAACATATTATCGGCACGCACGTGTACATGTACTATTGTTTACCAGGGGCCTGTTCGTTTATGCGGAACAACCGGTTTGACCGTTTATAAATGTAACAATTTCGGGTATAACTCCTGGCGGACCTGCAAATGTGTATGCAGGCCTTGCAAGGCTTTCTCATAGCTCGCCTGAAAGCAGCATCAGATTACTAGGTCCGACCTTATTTAATAACGAACAGCAGTGGTCCGATCGGTTTGACCGTTTCTACGATATTGAATGCCCGATACGCAATACGGAAATGACGACACGGTGTACATGCACATTTCGATCAAGATAATTGAGTCCGAGCTGTACTTTTTCCGGAAGTACGTCACGAAAATGAACGCTAATGACGATGTGTGGAGCCACCTTAACAGCTGTGGTCAATTAAGGACGAGCCAGGTTTTGGTGGTGGGGGTAAACCAGAGTACTGGGAGAAAAAATTATTGACCCTTGGCCAGTACTGGCAAATGCCCCACGTAGGCCTCGAACCAACAACCCAGTGACAGAGGGCTAGTGATTGTAGATAGTAGATAGTAGATAGTGGACGCCTTTGCCACTGTGGCTTCATGTACAGTTGCTAATTTTATAATTAACTACTTATGTGTATGACGAGTATAGGGCGGGACTGTACAGTGTGACGATTATAGGGCGAAACTATCTAGTGTGACGATTTATAGGACGTGACTGTACAGTGTTACGATTATAGGGCGGGACTGCAGTGTGCCGATTATAGGGCGGGACTGTACAGTGTGACGATTATAGGGCGGGACTGTACAATGTGCCGATTACCTGACGGGACTGTACGTTGTGACGATTACCGGACGGGACTGTACGTTGTGACGATTACCGGACGGGACTGTACAATGTGACGATTACAGGACGGGACTGTACTCTGTGATGATTACCTGACGGGACTGTACGTTGTGACGATTACCGGACGGGACTGTACAATGTGACGATTACAGGACGGGACTGTACTCTGTGATGATTACCTGACGGGACTGTACGTTGTGACGATAACCGGACGGGACTGTACAATGTGACGATTACAGGACGGGACTGTACTCTGTGATGATTACCTGACGGGACTGTACGTTGTGACGATTACCGGACGGGACTGTACAATGTGACGATTACAGGACGGGACTGTACTCTGTGATGATTACCTGACGGGACTGTACGTTGTGACGATTACCGGACGGGACTGTACAATGTGACGATTACAGGACGGGACTGTACTCTGTGATGATTACCTGACGGGACTGTACGTTGTGACGATTACCGGACGGGACTGTACAATGTGACGATTACAGGACGGGACTGTACTCTGTGATGATTACCTGACGGGACTGTACGTTGTGACGATTACCGGACGGGACTGTACAATGTGACGATTACAGGACGGGACTGTACTCTGTGATGATTACCTGACGGGACTGTACATTGTGACGATAACCTGACGGGACTGTACATTGTGACGATAACCGGACGGGACTGTACATTGTGACGATAACCGGACGGGACTGTACATTGTGAAGATTACAGGACGGGACTGTATACCGTGACCATTACAGGACGTGATTTTGTTCAAATTCAATGTTCCTGGTCCTAGCTCGGTGTGAGTTCCTATTTCAATCTTAAAGAAACTCGTCGTGAAGACTGTCATTGGCACCCCCTATACGTGTAAAATTTAAAAGGTTGTGCACCGGTACGGTTTCTAGACCCTCTTGGACCCTATACACGAAAATTGTCAAAATTGAGATTTTGTTCAAATTCAATGTTCCTGGTCCTAGCTCGGGGTGAATTCCCTTTTCAATCTCAATGAAACTCGGTGTGCATACTGTCGTTGACACCCCCTGTACGTGCAATCTTTCAAAAACTGTGCACCGGCATCCATTTTATAGCATTTTTCTGTAAATTTTTGAATAACGAATAACGAATAACTGTCCAACTTTAACCTGCCCCACGAACGTTGAATTCCGTATAACCTTTGAACAGTCAATAAGGTAGTTCACTTAAACGTTGAGATAATTGCAAGGTGCTTGTCATGATCGATAGTTTATATGCATGCTCCTAGCTGGTTATGCTTAAATTAAAAATGTGTCTGAAAAAAATGTTGGATACATACCCGTAGAAAATACCAACAGTGTGTTGTTCCATACTCCCTTATCCTGGAAAGCTGACACAATCTTCCCAATAGCTTGGTCCATAGCAACTACCATTCCTTTCGCGATAAAATAAACTATACTGTTCCGCAATTATATAAGGACATCGAGTAATACTACAGTGTTATTCCAACAAATGACATGACTACAACTCAGTGTTGATACTCTAAATATCAAATAAACGAATAGACTTTAAATAATGTCATTGCTATTTATTGTGACGTAAAACATATGATAGTACAACATTATTGCGCTGCCTGTACATACCTCCGTACATTTTGCGTGGCCCCCAGAGGTAGGATAATCCTGTAAGGTACTGTTTTGGGACCTGGAGTGGTGTGTGAACGGCTTGCAGTGCGAGGTACACGAACAGAGGCTGTAACCATACATAACAATAGCTATGCATGGTTCTCATATTGTTTATATTTTATATACATTGTATTAAACATGTAAGCAAAATAACCCATTTGAGGTCATTATGTCACTCAGTTGACCTCTGGCGCTCGCTTTTCATGCGTCATGCTTGCATGTATATCAACATTCATAATTTCGATTACGTTTGTCTGATTTTTCTGAAACGTTTTCAACCTGTAATTGGGATCAGAATCTAAACACAAGAAAAGGCTGACTACCAAAAAGCGGAGGAGCTGGGACCCTAAGGTCTCGCTTAGTGCAAAACCTTCAAACGGCATCTTGTGTCTCTATGTGTCTTAATCCATAATATTTTTGAATATAGACTCATATTTCATATTGATCCTTAGATAGTGGGCATTGGAATATGTACTCAAGAAGAGAATGAACCCCCATGGGAGCGGAGATATAAAGGGTCATGGAGTTCAAAACCTTCAAATGACATCTCCTGTGAGTCTAGTTGTTGTGTGACAAACATTTCATCAAATGAAACCATGACGCATCATCTGGTCTGAAAGAATCTAGACACAACCAGATGCAGAATCTAGACTTGTACAATGTACAATAAGATACAATGATAAACATATGTACATATACAATCAATATCACAGTACTATGTGTTATGTAAAGCCATATACGTGACCTTAGACGTGTTATGTTTGCTGACGATATCCAGTACCCGGTCTCTATATAGCTCGGTCGAGTAGGTGCCGGTGTGATTTGAGGGGTCAAGCCCATCCCGGAAATCAGTGCCACAAACATCCGGTTGTCCCTTCGTCAGTAAGGTACATGCTTTATGACTATAATGATCCTCGTTTCCTGTCAGAAATCCTAAAAGCAGAAACGAAAAAAGCATCATATAGAATGCTATAATACCCGTTATTGATTGAGTCATTTTTAATTCAATTTTTTGCCACAACGAAATAATTAGGTGATTCTTTCGATATTAACTAGTTGTATTGGCCATTTATAATGTATATGGTTCTAAAATAACAACAACGCCACATTTTGTTCACAAGTAAATTTGCATTTCAACAAATGTTATTGTTCAGAAAATATTATGTCAGATTGTGCGTAATGTTAAATTATGAGCGTAATGTTAAATTATGTTAGATTATGTGTAATGTTAAATTATGTTAGATTGTGTTTAATGTTAACTCCTACCACAATACGCTGTGTTAATCCACTCTCAGGTCATTGTATAAACACGCAGACTGTTAGATGAATATGAGTTATATACCACACGTGGTTTTGACCGCTAGTTACAGGCAAAATTGCTACAGACGCTCGATATCGTTTCGACGTCACACCGTCGCGTGTCCAGTTCGTGAAACCAAAACAAGATCTGTCAGAGTGTCGGGAAATATTTCGTTCTCCCAACGTCCCGTTATCGCTATTGAGACGGTCTGACTATGGCTGAACTTTCACTATAATCGTCAACCATAGAACCGTCACGAAGAAACGTAGGCCTATGGTTTTGGATATTTACAGCGATAAGTTCGTCCACAACGGTTCATCACTTGGCGGGAGGCAGACTTCGTACGATATGCTTACGCGCATATAGTCCGTGGTTAATTTATATAAATTAATGCAATACTGCTACTCTCAATATTTAAAGTCATTTATCTATTTTATTTTTTCACGAAGTTGTTGCCGAAACATTTATTTTGACAATAATTAAATATGTAAAAAAAAAAGTCATTTTTGAATATTAATGAGTGACTTTTTACATATGGGTCATATCACTACGCCAGCCTTGTCAACAAACACATGTGTGTATGTTCATGAGATTGTGGTAGAAACAGATCACACGACTCGTGTTTGTTGAGTATGGTATTCATTTCACTCTCGTTAGTTAGCGAGTGTCTTTCTGTAACTTTTGAAAATTAACTAACTCGAGTGAAATAAATACCATATTCAACAACCACTCGTTGTGTAACCTCTATTTATGCTAAATTGTGTGTTATATTAAATTATGTTAGATTGTGTGTAATGCTGAATTATGTTAACTTGTGTGTAATGTTAAATTATGTAGGATTGTGTGTAATGTTAAATTATGTGAGATTGTGTGTAACGTTAAATTATGTCAGATCGTGTGTAACGTTAAATTATGTCAGATTGTGTGTAACGTTAAATTATGTCAGATCGTGTGCAACGTTAAATTAACGTTAAATTATGTCAGATCGTGAGTAATGTTAAATTATGTGAGATGTGTGTAACGTTAAATTATGTGAGATTGTCACGTGTGTAACGTTAAATTATGTCAGATCGTGTGTAACGTTTAATTATGTCTGATCGTGTGTAACGTTAAATTATGTCAAATCGTGTGTAACGTTAAATTATGTAATTAATGTATGGCCATTGCAGACTGAAAATAAAAATATTTAAAGCGTTATCATTTTTTTTAAAATATTGCAATATATGAATCAACGAGTATCACATTCATTGAAATAGTCCATCTTTTCATGTTCTGCTGATTTTTTGCTTTTTAAAAATAAATAAATGTTAAAGCAATGTTATTTATATTATGTATCCAACCATAGTGGGTATCGAATCCCCTGTTCATGGGTAGGAACTTCTCCTTGTAGAAGCCAAGGTGCCATTTTCCCACAGCATGCGTGGAGTACCCAGCCTCTTTCAGTTTGTCGGCGAGTGTGGGACTGTTGAGGGGTAGACCATTCGCCTGGGCGTTGGTGATGTCAGCGTGTTGTAATCCTGTATGTATCTGGTTTAGAAATTTTATTGTGTATCTTTTATATTCACACAACGACTCACAATAATCTAGCACAGGTGTATAACATTTTTATGCAAAATCAATCTATATTGACACCTTAAAATGTTCAGGTTCAAGATTGGGTGAAAACAAACTCGAACTTCATATTACAGTGTACATGTAACAACTTGAACAAACTTCGATGTCTAGAAATTATGCTTATAACAGCACCCAGTTATTATCGTTATGCATGATACATTGATTCAATACATATACATTGAACTTTTGTGACTTTCATACAAAATAGTATGTACGTTAAAACGATTAGTGTATGCTGTCTATTCTCTTTGTAAGTCAGTATATTAAACAAGGCATCCGAAGTGATACAAATCCCCTCGCAATCACACATTGAGGAATAAAGTTGGTAAGGCGATGACATCGTTTTTCTAAAAATAATAACAGCGACCTTGACCTTCAACGTAGAAATACGAAACGCGAACTTGTTTAAGGCATTGCCATACTAAACACTTGCATGAAGTTTCATGAAATTCCTTTCAGTGATGTAGTCGGTAGAGCGATACAGTTTTATTTCTAAAAAATAGTAACTGTGACCTTGAACTTCAACATAAAAACCCGAAACGCAAACTTGTGCAAGGTATTGCCATACCAAAAATGAAGTCGCTAGAGCGATGACAAAGAAGGGGCGTAATCCTATATCTCCTCGAACTTTCGTTGCAAGAGGACAATAGGTTTGAAGAAATGAAGAAATGATAAAAAATGTAGTTTGATGTAAAAACAGAAGTATCAATTGTTACCACGGACTTGCCCGTGCCTTCACCCTGTATGTGTACACTGTAAATGCCTGTGCGATAATAAGGTAAAGATAGCGGTATGGTAGCTGCTTTGTATGGTGTCTACCTGATAACGGCCCGACATGAGTTGGCTCCGTGTCGGTGTTGACAAGGGCTGTACATAGTAGTTCTCCAGTATGACACCTCCGTCAGCAAGATGGTTCAGGTTAGGGGTTCTGATGTTGGCGCCGTGGTACCCGATGTCATTGTAGCCATAGTCATCAGCAAGGATGAATAAAATATTAGGTTTTTCTGCCTGACACAGTGCAAAACTAATTACGAAAATGTGTATGACAAACCAATGCATTATATATGCCGTACTGACTTTGTATACTATTTTGCAATTCTTATCTTTAGATTTGCGTCATATGACTGTCATGTGATAGTGTAATACAGATATGCAATCAAACGGTAAATAGCTAATTTTGTATAATACATATAATTGTGGAATTTAGTAACAAAAGACATCCCTGTCAATGTCAAGTGAGAGAGTTTTATTATATTATAATTATTTTAGTTGTACGTTCTCGCCTATAAGCGGAGAGTAAATAAGGGTCAACTGGGAAACAAAGTCTGTTGACTTTACGGTACAATTTTACTTTCCTGAGTTTGACTGATTCGTTAACACGGAGGCAATGTGTATTGATCTTATCAATGCAACTGGGTTTTTTTCATATTTTTTTTTACTTTTACAATCAGAGGAAATGTAAATTTTAAGCAATTTTGCTTATTACAATGAACATGAAATACAATTTTAGTTATTTTTCAAATTCTGTATAGATAATTTTCCAAACGAAGAAAAAGTTAATTTTATCTGACCGGCAGACACAGAAATGCACATGCCAGTACACCTCCAGCGGCAGACGCATAGAAATACACATACATGTACATGTACCAGTACACATACCAGTACACCTCCAGTGCACATACCAGTACGCATACCAATACACATCCAATACATATACCAGTACACATACCAGTACACCTCCATAACACATACCAGTACACCTCCAATACCAGTACACATACCAGTACACCTTCAGTACACCAAGCACACCTTTATCACACATATCAGTATACCTCCAATACCCATACCAGTACACCTCCAGTACACCTCCAGTACACAAACCAGTGCACCCCCAGTACACATACCAGTACACCTCCAGTACTCAAACCAGTGCACCCCCAATACCCATACCAGTACACCTCCAGAACACATTTTAGTACACATACCAGTACACATACCAGTACACCAAGCACACCTCCATCACACATATCAGTATACCTCCAATACACATACCAGTACACCTCTAGTACACATACTAGAACACCTCCAGTACACATACCAGTGCACCTCCAGTACACATACCAGTACACATATCAGTACACCTCCAGTACACATACCAGTACACATATCAGTACACCTCCAGTACACATACCAGTACACCTCCAGTACTCATACCAGTACACCTCCAGTACACCAAGCACACCTCCATCACACATATCAGAATACCTCCAATACACATACTAGTACACCTCCAGTACACATACTAGTACACCTCCAGTACACATACTAGTACACCTCCAGTACACATACTAGTACGCCTCCAGTACACATACCAGTACACCTGCAGTACACATACCAGTACACATACCAGCACACCTCCAGTACACATACCAGTACACATCCAGAACACATACCAGTACACATACCAATACACATACTAGTACACCTCCAGTACACATACTAGTACACCTCCAGTACACATACCAGTACACATACCAATACACATACCAGTACACCTCCAGTACACATACCAGTACACCTGCAGTACACATACCAGTACACATACCAGTACACCCCCATTACACATATTAGTATACCTCCAGTACACATACCAGTACACCTCTTGACACATTTCAATGATGGACAGTGGAAGCGAGGGAGAGAAAGGAAGAAAAGAGAGAAGAAAGGAGGGGGATTTAGGCTGTCAAACGGTCAAAGACGGGTACATGTATGTTCTTTATACATGTGTTTTCTTGTTTTTTATATTCTAAAACTATATTTTGTAGGATCGGCATATTGTTACAGATACCATTGAATTAAAAACACTCATTTATTTAATAATAAAATAAACTCTTCTGTAGAAGAACTTCGAAACCTCGGAATGAATTAAAAACACTCATTTATTTAATAATAAAATAAACTCTTCTGTAGAAGAACTTCGAAACCTCGGCCAGCTGGCGCCCAATGTCTAAGAGTTCTACAGGTTATACAATGTACGAGTTACTTCCGTTGCATTGCATTGAGTTTAAAAACCCGAGTAAATAGATTGGTGTATACAATACTTTGCATTATTTAGACAATAAACTGGGAATCTTAAATATTGTTAGGTTATGGCACGAACCTTAATCTAAACAGAAGAAAAAGTGGAAAATATCACAAAAAGACTTTAAACATATCCAAAAAAGACCCGAACAAAGTCCCAAAACGACCTTTCATTCTGTTACTAAAACCACTTCTTACCGGAACACGTGTGCCGCACATGTTCCGTCGTGGTTTATTGAACAGCTGTGCAGAACATCCAAAGCAACGAAGGACCCAAGATCAACGAACCTTGGCAATTTGTCTCATAGGAGAAAATCAATACGCTCTTAAGAGCATAAATGTTTTATGAATTGAAAAAACATGTAGAAGAACAGAAACAGAATGTTAATTGAGACAATGGCAAAATGGCATGTTTCAGGGAGGTAATACGATGAGAACATTTAAACTGTTCAAAAAAAGTTATGAAGCAGAACTATATGTACGGAGTGCATTAGCCAAGATGTGGTGTAGCTCCACTTCGAATAGAAACAGGGCCGTAGTGTTGGGCGGTGTGAGAGATTGCCAGTTGAAGAAAGATTACGTTTTAATTGTATATTCCATATGAATGTGAAAGACATGTCTTACTCGAATGTCCTCTGTACACCGATTTATGTGGTGAATTAAACGAGTATTCTGCTAGGACTGTGTATGGTTGTCAGATTCCTTAGTAATCATACCATCAATATTACTGCTAAAAGTCTGTTTGAGTTTTTCTTGTCGCCACATACTGTTATATCACTGATCGTTTAATTCATACAATTCACAAAGAACTAGCTAGTTGTTGGAAGGCAAAACTCCGACTCCAGATGTATATCTACGCTTATGAACCCTAACGATACTCATTTTTGTGTATTTTAATGTTATACCAATGACCATGTTAACAGGTTAAAGGGTCATTTTAGCCTTAAACAATTTTTAAGTATCTCATAATTCCTACTAAAGAATTGACATCAGACATATGTGAATGGGCATGTGTGGTTATTGTAGTACATGTCACGACAATGTTGTATTTAACGCCGGTATGCATTCTGATGTGTAACATATGTCCAACATATTTGATTGATTTGGTTTGAGCTACAAAACAAAATTAATGTAGACTTAAGGCAAAACACATACACACAGGTAAATTCATCTGCTGTGGATTATAATCAATATAAACCAATTACCGACGTTTTCTGGTCCACATTTAAGCAAGAACCACTATTAGGTATAACTGCCATATGTCCATATTTATTATATAAGTAAGACATTCATTTTAGTTAAAATGTTTTTTATATTTCCCTTACAGAGTGACCTATATCCATTTTAAGTTAATGCTGGGATGCCATGCGGGAAAATTATCAAAAGAAAAATATGAAGTGATGATATATAAAAAGAAGCATGCTGGTATGAGGTCTACCAAGTTTGTTCGAATGAATGACCTTCGTCCATATTCAGGTTTACAGGGGTCAAATATGTTGAAAACTTTAAACGACTTCTTCTGAATATCTAAACGGGGACCTTGTCGATGATATTTGGCTAGTACATATAACATGCATGGATAACGGGCAACCAATTTTGTTCAAATGAATGGTTTTTATGTGAATGACCTTTACACACTTTCAATGTCACATCTTGTCAATTGTGTATAAATCTTTGAAAGTCATCTTCTCAGTAAACAAAATGTCTAGGGTGGTGAAAATTGGCAAGCTGCATTCTGCGATGAAGGGCTATAACGTTTGTTCAATTTAATGTCCTTGTTTAACGTTCAAGGTAACATGGGTCAAATGTGTTTAAATCTTAATTTAACAGGTTCTTTTGAATGACTTTGAGTCAAGACACTGATATTTTGCCTGTCACTTTATTTTACAGTTGTGAGATTATTTCAAGGTGAACCAATAATAATAATAATAATGATAATAATAATAATTCGAGGTTCTTATATACCACTTTATCACAACCTAGTTCGTAGGTTGTCACAAAGCGGTTCACAAATTATTATCCGTGGTTATAGGCCCTTTGCAACCAGCCAATACCTTTCTCAACTCCCTGGGAGCATACAGCTAGAGCTGTCATTTCGGCGCCAGCAGCTAGCATTCAACAATTCTAGCACTGCCCAACCACGTACTCATTTACAGCTGAGTAACCTGGAACAAGCGGAGTAAAGTATCATGCTCAAAGATACAACACAGTGCCTCTTGTTCAATAATAATGTAATAGTAGTATTTGTATCTGTGTCATCATTCAAACCGTGCTTTGATATATGAGGCGCCATAAACTAATTAGGTCTGTATGGAGGTGTAGAAAATTAACAGCCTTTCATGTTCTAAAATTTATCAAAAGCATTTAAATACACTCTTGTCGCATCAATGAATTGGATCTAATATGATACTTGCCATATATGTTCTCCTTAGTGTGGTTGTTATGGCTGTAGTTTGTAGGACGTCTGAATGACATACATACAAGATTGCTGTTAGGTTCAAATCTCCGGGAAACAGCTTGAATATTAATACGTGTTCATTTGACGTTTCAGATTGCAGCCGTTAATTCCGTGAATGGAAGTATGTCACACGGACTAAAGCTTTCGTGATATTGATTATATAAGCAGGCACTCATTTTAGTAGTGAAATCTTGTTTATATTCAAACGACTTCTTCTGAAATAATGAGTTTTTTCCCCATTCGACACCTACATAAACCACACACATTACATAGCACTACACAAAACACACACATTACATAACACACTTCACAAACCACACACATTACATAGCACACTACACAAACCACACACATTACATAGCACACTACACAAACCACACACATTACATAGCACACTACACAAACCACACACATTACATAGCACACTACACAAACCACACACATTACATAGCACACTACACAAACCACACACATTACATAGCACACTACACAAACCACACACATTACATAGCACACTACACAAACCACACACATTACATAGCACACTACACAAACCA